TAATTTATTGATGAAGATTTTCACGTGTCAAGCTGTAAACCATCCATGAGTAAATTTGCTAAGGATTAAAATTTAAAATATTTTATCGATGGTTTCTTTGGTTTGTGTTGACTAATAACTAATAAGTAATAACTGTGTGAGTCCACTATTCACTAACCTACGCATAAAATAAATTACAACGCATATTTCTTTTTACAGAAACTATGTATGGCTAAGGAATAAACTGTTTGAAATAGAGAAACAAAAAAATAAAAATATTTACAATAAAAAAAAACAATTTTTATTCGTCATTGTTATAGTTGTTCGGCTGAGCTATGTAGCAAAGTGTCAACGATTCGGTCAAGGGCAGTTTACTCTGTGATATGTGTTTGCTGACACATGGTGCATACAAAATCACTTTATGAGACTGATCCTCTAACTGTATAGCAAGGAGCATACGTTTTCAGTGTTTCACCAATTCCGGGTAATCATATTAATGATATTAGTATACAGTTAATAATTTATTTTATTTTTATAGGTACCCATCATGGCATCATCTAATATAGTGGTCTTCAAATGGCATAAGTACCGGATCTACGAAAGGAATTCAATCAAATTTTATTCGTTTTATCTAGGTAGTATGGTGTAATGAGTAATAATGACCAAAATTATAGTAATTAGGTTAGGTTAGGTTAGGTTAGGTTCTAGTATTAATGATTACAATGTGTGTCATTTATATATATATATCCTGAGTGTATACTAATAACATAATATTTTATTAACGTTTACGATAGGCATTCAATATGTTTTATTTATTTAGTAGAACAAACTAAAATAATATAATATTTACGTAAACATAAAAAAACCGTCTGGTGCTATCAGTGGATAGTCTTCCTTCTCATAATATTTTATTGTTTATAAGTATTAAAAAAATATATCTCATTTACTTGCTGTGTTAAAACATACACAGATTATAAAATATATTATTTTATCAAATAAAAATAATATTTATTAGAATGTAATTACAAGTAGCTAATAAATAATAATCAATATTTTATGTACTGATGTACAACATAAATATTAACAGAACCCTCGTATGTTGTCTTCGTCTTAATTAACAGAGTAAACCAACGGATAAGTCGGAATATCATACCAGATTTTATGTTTAGAATAATTCAATGAACTCTGTCTGTATATTATTATATTAGAGTGAATTGACCTAAAATGTGAAGATAAGCATTATGAATACTATGTACGGCCATAAGTAGGGTTTTTTGTTATTTAAATTTTAAAGCAAGTAATAATGAGAATTTTAAAATTTTGAAAGGGTCCCTTACATAATCAACGTCACATTTATCTCTTTACTGTTATGTATAGTCGTTTAATAAAAAAACAATTTATTCATTATTTTTTCTTCCATTGTACCTATGTCCTATATTATGCACATTTACATCCCTATTATGTCCACCCCCTCATTTTTAGTAAGTCCCCATTTCTTATAATTTCTCTTAAAAAGTCGTTAGCATTCATAATAATTTTACAAGTCAGTTATCATCTATCATAACCATGTAAGTGTAATACTGCATAAGTTTATCATAATAATGTATAAGTGTGAATGGAAACATGGAATATTCCATAAGTACTATACTTAGTACTTACATAATACTGTAACTAATATTTAGTTCATGCCTACAAATTAGTTTAGGTAAACAATTATTAACTTTAGATTAAACCGTCTAAATATTCTATGTTTTAATGTTGTATTATTTCAAGAATAACAATATACTATATTATTGTGTTTCTGTACACATACTATAGAGGTATTAGAGACATAGTTTTGAGACATGTAACATCCGGCATTCCGGCACAAACACTCGACGCACAAAAAATATAAAACATCGTTTTTCTGGCCAACTGTACTTTATATTCGTGATTCATGCGAAATGTGTTATTAAATAGTAATGACAGTAGTGTTATTCTTGAACTAATTGCACAACCTTATGGAACCGGTTGAATACAATCCAAACGAAATTTAGTATTTACGAAGAAAGCATGTACGTGTAACGGTAAATAAAAACAATTAAACAAATATAACAATTCATAACTTTTATGTTTTTCAACAAGGTCAAATGACAACTTCATAAGGGGATATTTTGATAAATGTGTTTTTTTTAAATTTAAATTTAAAGTTAATTTACATTTTACGATTTTCTTAGAATTTTAAAAACAAAGAAAGCAAAAAAAAATTAAATAAAACTACTTTTTCAAGAATACCTGGTTATGCAATTAATAATTCTTAAAAACCACATTTTTAAACATATTTTCGTTTGTTACTTACACTAAATATTTGAGTGTATAGAAAAAATTACTAATTTGTTAAACTATTCGACTGCTAAAAGGCCAACGTAGCATAACGACTTTCATGAACATTGTCAATCCAGTTGATTTAAAAAATAATTACAATGGATCCAGGTCGAAAGATTTAAAAGTAAATAAGTGAAACTCGCTTGGAAGTCTTATTTCCTGCAATATTCAAAACGATCGCTGATTGTATTATTAACTAATGCAAATTTATAGGTATCCGATGTCCTTTGTTCCGATTATGGTATTATACTTAATACAAGTTTGGACAGTGATGTCATATTATTGTAACCCACAAAGACAGTAGCAAATGGACACTGCGCGCACTTCACAATGATAAAATACATTTCTGCAATTATAAGATCATGTTCAAGGATTTCTAACATGGGCGTTAGCACAAATATGATACATCTTAGTAACTGATGTAGCATGTGTATTGTTTATCGAATGATTGAGAAGTATCGGTAACATTGTCTTTAATTACCTTCATGAAATGTTTTGTGTGTTAGGGAACAATGTTACCTATGTTCCAATATGAATTTCAGATATTTTTTCAAAAATGTTTGTTCTTCTACTGATTTCATAACATATTATAAATATTATAAAATCAATGCAAGTAGGCACTCAATAGTTATTACTCTAGTTTTAAACATTGTCTAAATAATGTATTGTACCTACACATTTAAACATTTTAGAATTATTGTGTCCATTATCGTTTCTTAAATTACAAATGTAATAGAAAGCATGACTTTAAAAGTGAAAAAATTGAAAATCTTGTTTTATAATAATATAATAATGCAAGGTATGGGGTATTTTAGAAATTATATAAATTAGTACATGTAATGTTACTGTTGTTTGTTTTAAAAAGTTGATTAATTAATTTATTAATCATAAGCGTATACGTATTATGTATATGTAATAAAAAGTATGTACAACATCCTATAAAATGTTACCAAAATTATTAAAATAGTAAGTTATAAAAGAAAATATTGCTCTGCCGTAATATATCGTTATAACTATGACTATCAGCATGTTCATATTCACGGATGGTTGCATATTCCCAACATCAAATTACAGACTAGAGTGTTGTAGTACCTACATCATAGTACCATATGCAGTTTTTTTCCAGCAAAAGATAAAACGGGATTCTCTAGACAGTATCCCACCAAGTTATAGAACATGTGTAACTCGAATAGCCTATTTTTAAAACATTTAAATTCCCCGTGTATGGTGTATTATACCATATATAACACTTAAAAGGACGGTACGTCATCTTAAAAAATAAATACTCTAAACAGACACATATGAAATACATGTTATAAACATTTTCAATAAGGACATTTAATTTATAATTTTATGTTGTCTAGGGACGTTTCTTGTGTGAAAATATCAACATTCTGATTTACAATTATATAAAATACATGTGTTTTTATTTTTACAAAATATCAGTTTTATCCACAACACACAAAAGTATTATAGGTCATCGTCTCATCAATATACACTTCATTTGTGTAGGTATTTTTTGTGTGTTAACAGTAAATAACGATACATACTATTTGAACCTAACTATACAAATATCTGTATTATGTAAATAATATTTAACATCGATTTGGATGTTGTGGGCACTGGGCAGAAAGTTTTTTATGTGTTGTTATTCAAATTATCTATATTGACTTCATGATAAGGCAAAAATGGTGTTAAATGTTGTTACAGTAAATAATAATATATTATAATATGTTTGTTGTTCTGTATAATATTTAATAGATTGTTACTGACAAATCGATTTTCTCCGAGTTGGAAAGCACGATGGAACATTGTTTATACAAATGGATCATTTTACTATTTAATAGCAATTAACTCGGAAGATTTCAAGTCAATAGGATTTGGGAGAGTAATTATTAAATTATTTAGATTTCTGTTTATAAAATTGTATTTATTTTTATTTTATTTCATTTGTATATTATATTATAGGATTTGTTTTTATTCGTAAGTAGACAGGTAGTAAGTTATTTAATTTTAATTTTTAATGCTCTAAATAGTTATCATTAATTCATTTATAACAGAATTTACAGAATGTGCTTATATCTGATTACTACGTGGTGAACCATTATAAGTTATAACTATTTACAGTGTTGTTGTTGTATGACAGATACCTACCTGTATAAAGTATTTTATAGTGTTAATTGAACAAAGAACAATGTACCAATAGTTATTTATATTGTGTTCATTACTTGAATCATAGCTACATGAATCGTAATATGTTTACTAAAATGAACGGTAGCTAATTTTTTAACCTACGTGTTTTTGAGTTTTACAACAAATTTAGGTATTAATTACGATGAGTTTGTTGATATCTTAAGTACCTACCTATCAATTTTATTAAAAATTATACCGAAAATAGTAAAATGTCAAAATTATAATTTGAACATAGGGTGATTTTGAAACCCATATATTCACTGCCATATTCAAGAAGAATAAGTGTGAACTTAATTAGTTAGCAACAAAAGAAAAATTTGCTATTACCTATTTAAATATTTATAGCGATATCAAATCAATGCAAAAACAGCAAAATGCTAGTAATTCAACAACCGACTTACATAATATTATAAATCATAATAAATAGGAGTATTAAACTATTCAAGTAGTAATTTAAATGTTACCTTTGTTTGTGGCCAAATTCTGATTAGGTATACAATTGTTTGAGTATAGTTTTAACAGCAAACCATATCATTCGAGAACTAAGAACGGCAGCTAGCAGCTATGTAGGCGGTACTCAACGGTTCTATTGTTATAATCGTCCGTATAATGTCAACGTCGGTCTGCCGTTGGAACGAAACCGTTTAAATATTATGGGCGACTTAACACGACTTAACTTCTACACGCTGCAGACGACGACGTCGACGGGTCAACGTCTAAAGTCTGACTAATCACGACTGCACGAGTTTTAGTTACGACAATGTGCTGTCCACACGAACGACGCCGCCGATTACACCACCACCAAGAGTACGCTGGCCGCTGAACACGGCTACATCGCACGTATTGATAATGCTTGCTCATTTACCATCACTCCGTTTAAACTGTATACAAACAGGAGTACAGGACGATTCTTTTAACGTTAGACGTTCATTATTTTTGAAAACTAACAACGTGTTTTTATATAATTTGAAATCATTTCAAAATAACATTTTGAAAGAAAAACAGAAAATATTTTTTCAATTAATTTTAATTATTTTTTAAGGTTTTTGCTTTTTTAAATGACAAAAATACATTTTGTAATTTCGCATTCCAAAGCAGAAAGTTTTTCAGTGTATAAATATCAAATTTCGTACCAGTAGTCAACTAGTATTATAGCCTATAAGTACCTTATAAATATAATGTACAATATATAGAATAATAAATACATTTTAACGTTAAGCATAGATGAGCGGAGTTTATAGTTTAGTAGTGTAGCCTGTAGGTACCAACATCTTGCTTTAACCCCTGTGTCACTTTTCTGCTAACATAAATTCTGTAAAATGTAAATACCTACCTACTTTTAAATTATAACTAATTAAAGCATTGTTGGAAATTCGATCTTTAATTATGTATCAAAAACTCAGAAAATTATTTTACTCTGGAACATCCGATTAAAAATCTATGTTATTCTTTAAAAAGGTAAAAACTTTAAGAAGTAAGAACATAACGATAAAAAGTAGTAAAAATATAAACATTATTTAAACATTTTGTTTTTAATGACTTCAAATTATGTAAAAAAATATTTTTAACAGGTTAAGTGTTTTGTATTAATTATGTTTAAAAAAATCACCCTGACAACTCTGAACAGTGCCGTGCAGTAAAATAGTGTTTTCCAATAATCTCTACTAAAAGACAACAATAATCTGACTTTTACAGCTGCATGCAGATGAGTAGATGACCGACTTGTGTTCGTACAACTATAATTATAAAAATTGTTTAATACAATCTTACTGCTAAATGAAAATAGGTAAGCCATAAAGCCCACAACTCACGAGAAAATCGTCCAAACGAACCTTTTTAAAGTTTGTTAGTTTTTAAAAGTAAGGTTAATCAAAAAATTTCATATCTATCAAAAACTTATACAAAATGTGTTACTTGTAATAGCATTTTTAATTTCTCAAATCAATTCTTGAAAATAGTGTTTTTAAACACGAATTTCTAGAATGTTTACAAGTTATACTGCCCATAGTGCCATAGTGGACAGTGATACCTGTATTTTGTCAATATACTCGTTTTAATTCGTTTTAATATTATTAATTTATAATAGGTAGCTGGTACCTTCTGTTTATTCATTATATTATACATTTTTACATTAACACCTACGTATTATACTTTTGTACCATGATGCATTGATGCATTGTGATACAATCTTTAAAGAAACGAACAAATTTTAATTAAATTTAAAACAAACAATATTCTCATGTGATAAAATCCAAACAAATATTATGTACTGTTTATCAGTAATTCGATTCTTATATATATTTTATAATTATACAAAAGATCTGTATTGTTTTAAATAAATATTTTATTTAAAAATGGCTATATTCTATTTATTGCGATGTTGTTCTCAGATATTAACTATATATTCAGACTTCAATAGTAGACTTTAACAGTAGGTAAGCAGTGGCGAATACAAGGGGGACCCTAATTGACGGTTATTATTATATCTGTAGTTGTAATAAAATATACAAGTTGATTAATTGTAAATTAAAATATACTCTTTAACTTTTCATGTTGAACAATTTTAGTTGTACTTGATTTGAAGGCCTAACATCAAATCCAAAATATTGCCTTTACAAAATTAATTTTACAAAAGTGGATATGTGGATGTTGCTCTGCTGTACATTAAGTGTCTAAGAGGCCGCTGTAATGGATGGTATTAAATTTAAATTCAATGATATCATATCATTGTATACAAAAACGATTCTGAGCGGAGACTATGTCAGTCTAAGATATTTTATATTGTTATTACTTATTATTATAATATGGTAGCTGGTATATTCAATTGATATTATTCTTAAATTATCAGTGATGCTGGAAAAATATTAAATATAATTATGGACACTAATCCCTCACTGAGTATTGTACATTTGTACTATACATTAATTTAAGTGTCGAATTGGACTTCGATATATCATAATCAGTATAATATAGAAGGCGTATTACAGGAAATACTATACTACACCAGCTATATATATTATGATGTATTGAGTTTAACAGTCAGAATGAGAAAGATTTCAAGGCCACTGTCTGTGGGGGTCCACTTGCCCTATCGGCAACACACAATATGCTGTCATGCATTTTTAATTTTTTATTGGCAATAAATTGTAATGACTTTTTACTTTGCCTGGAATTTTTTTTATACAGACACACTTTGAAATTATTTCTTTCAGATTTTAAAAACTAATGATTTTTTAGATGGACTTAAAATTATACCTATTTATAATACGTAAGTATGTTGTCGATAATGTTAACTTCATTTCACTTGACCACGATACAAAATGGTTTTAATTTGTGGTTATTTTTTAAATTTTTATTGTACACAAATTTTGGCCAGGTATACCCGTGTTTTCAGAATTTTTCATTTAAAATCAATCTAAAAAAATAATTTATTTATTTCTTAAATGTAAAAGGCCATTTCTTGAAGTTGTTCTATGGTGGTGTCTAAAATGGTTATAATTTTAGTCTATAATCTATATAAGTCGTATAGTAAGGTACAAAGGGGGTTTATATTAGGTTCATATAGGTATCAAGTATTCAACCAAGTACTGAAGTACCACCCTTTGGAATTTTATCCTTATAAATAATAATAATCAAGGTCATGGCTAGAAAAATATTTAGGGAGGGGGGGGGTTAGATTATAAATATGTTATATCATATAATAAAATAATAATATATAAATATTATTTCAATTAAATTAATCTTTATTTAAAAAATAATTAAATCTTATTTTCTAATTCNGGGGGGTTGACTATGAGTTTTAGTTACAATAAAATAATAACACATTTGTCAAGCAATGGTATACAAATAAGTCTCCGTACACTCAAACGAAAATTGAACCTACTTAATTTGTACAAACGCATCAATTATACGCCTTTGAATATAGTGAGAGAGTATTTAGAAAACTGTATTCTGAGTTCAAATCAACTGCATGGTTATAAGTGGATGCATCGAAAATGCATCAGTGTTAGATTTGTTGCGAAACAAGAAACTGTTAGGACTCTTTTAAAAATTATTGATCCTGAAGGTGTGGAAATTAGAAGTCGGAAGAGATTAAGAAGACAACAGTATTATAATCCAGGTCCTAATTATACGTGGCATACAGACTGCTACGACAAACTTAAACCCTATGGAATTTTTATAAGTAGTTGCATCGATGGGTTCTCTAGATTCATACTTTGGCTGGAAGCGGCACCGTCTTGTAGTGATCCCAGAGCAATAGGAAGTTTTTATTTAAATACGGTAGAGGCATTGGGAAGATGTCCTATTGGCTATTACTTTAAGATTCGATAAAGGTACTGAAAACCGACACATTGAGCAATTTCAACAGTCTTTATACGTAGAAATAATGCTAATATTTTAAATTAATATTTTAATGAAACACATAAATGTAAGCCAATATAAAATGCACTTTTTTGACCAAAAATGTTAGTACAATTTGGTAAGCATGTATTAATATTTTGCTTAAATCTAGTCTTACGTTCATGATCAAATATTGATATTCACTATTAAATGTTTATGTTTATATAAATCTATCAGAAAAATTATAAATAAATTAAAAGTTTTTTATGTTTAGAGCCTTATAATATTTTTATAGTGTTAGTTTGAAAAGGTAAATTTAATAAATATTTAATAATGTAATTTATAGTAAAATTTAGTCTGGATAAATGGATATATAGGTTCCTCCCCAAATTGATAACACATAAGAATCAAAAGATTGTACTAGGGATAAATTGTTATAGTTATAAAATTCAAATGTTATGTACTTGTATTAGTAAATTTAATTTAGATTACATATTTACATTATAAATATTTTTAGCATTAACAATGAACTAAAATCCTATAAACAAACTATAATAATTATCTATTATCTATTAGTATCTATAGGTAACTATTTTATATTATATATATATATATAAAGTATAAAATCCTAAATTTGGTATAGACTATAGGTACTAATAAAATAATAATTATTAACTTAATTGGAATGTAACATATAATACTATAGTCCATAATTACTTAGATGTTTCATTGAGTATTTCAAATTTTGCTGCATAAAAATCATAAATCATTGTACTAAGCCTAGTACATTACAGACTTGTATAAGATACCTCATAATACTACAAGAGTAATAAGTATTCAAGTACATAATATATGCTTATTTTTAAAAGTATTTAAAATACGTGTTTGAATATACTCAGCAAAAAAAGTAATCGAGCACAAATAGAATAATATTTTTAAAAAGTATTTATAGTCTTATACATATAAATACATTCAAATTCTTTTTAAAATACTTATGTTTTTTACCTTATAAATCAACTGAATCGATTTTCATGTTTTAACTTTTAAGTTAGTTTAATATAGCGTACATTTTATACCGCATCATTTGGCGGAACTTTAAAATAATAAACTGTTTTCGTTGTCAAAGTATTTCATTTTTGGATAAATACCTCTAATTCAGGGCAAAAAAAAATATATGTATCCTATTAAATGTGTTCTCAATATTTGTATTTTTATTTTACGTGATTAAAATTAAAATATAAAATGTATAAACTAAAAACAATTATTTAAGTATTTAATTTTAAGTACAGATCATTTTTAAAAGTATTTAAAATACACTGTTGTCATAACAAATATCTAAGCATGACTTTAATGGTAATAGTAATATACCACGAAGTCTAAATACCTAATACTTATGAAGATGTATTTTTAATAATTTGACATAATATTTTAAGATTTTGAGCGAAGAGATAATTGTATTGGTTTTACAATAATGTGTATTTTTTTATGTCTTTAACTACATTTTCGTGTAGTACAATTTTACAATTATTTCGAAGGTTTTATTAAACCCCTGCCTCCTATAGGTCATAAATGGTATTTCATTGTATTTTCAAGAGTACCTTTATCGATATTGTTAACCGTGTTTCATTAGTAAAAGTACAAACTAAATAAGTAGCTAAAAAATTGAATAATAAAAAAAAATGTGGAGCTAATATTGACCGAATAAATTATAGGGGGTGGGAGGCACCCTCTTCTCAAACTAAGCATTATTTTAGAGCATTTATTCAATGCTGCCGTGCTGTGTGAAAAATTTATAATTCTGTGAATATTTAAATTTTAAATGTCAAACTGTGGAAAATAAAAGTCGAAATTACAATTTTTTTTTCTAGTTGGCACTACTACGCTTCCGTAGATATCTTTACTCATCATCAGGAGTCAGGACGGTGCAGCTGATAGTGTCTCTTAAATTGTGGCTTATACTTTTCGCCATAGCCCTTAAACCGCGGACCAAGTTATAGTAAGTTAGAAGCATAGAATAATAAGGTCTGATTCTGATTAGGGTACTCTATGGACTGACGGACTGTACACAACCAACCGTAGATAATATTATAAAAATTATACTTAATATATAGCTGTCACAGATTTAGAGAATTTATTAGTTATTTAGTCACAGAATAGATTGATCTATTCTATAATTTATTTATATTAGTTTATTATATAGTATAGTACAGTGTTGGTAAGGAACGCGTTCCTTTTATAGGAACGAAGCTCGGAACGCGTTCTATTTAAAATATAGGAACGAGGAATGGGAAAGAGTTCCTATTTTTAAGGAACTTGAAAGAAAATTTCCGTTCCTCAAATAATGAAAAAATAGTTATTTCTAACACGTTGAGTGCCACAGTATTTATGAAGCGCATATTATAGTAATATAGTGTGTTTCCGCGCCAAAACTGAGCCGCGACGCCGTCGGTTGACACCATATTTTTTACTCTATGGTCGACACCGGTTCCGCGCGCCATGGACCAATAAACGAAATACGTTCTCGAAATATTGATGTGTTTTACAAATAATCTGTGTAACCAAATAATAATAATTTTGTCGTAGACAAATGGGAATCAAATTAATTTTCATTTAAGATTCATTGTTTGAAAAATTAGTTCTCAAACAAAACAAAATGTCAGTATAAAAATATTTTTTCATCTTCATTATAAATAAAAATAATATATAAATATTTTGACTTTAAAGTATATTGATGAATTGTTTTTTTCATTCTTTATTTCCATTTTTTAGAATAGGAAATAAATTGAATTTAAAAAAAACAGATTGTTGTATTACCTATACCAGCGGTTCCCAACCCATGGGCCCCGAGCAGCTTGGTACTGGGCCGTGAACCATATAATATTAAATATTATTTATGTACTTTTTTTATATATACCTTATAATTTATATTTTATAATATTTCTGGTTATAATAATGTTTAAATTATTTAATCAATATCAACTACAGTGCAGGTTAGGTTAGGTAAAATTATCTAGTCTTAAATCTTAATCCAGATATTAACTCTCCCTTGCAGGACAAGAAATGTCAAAAATCACATTAAATTGCTATACTTGTGATTAAGTTGAATAAAGTGTTTTGCTTAGTAAAAAATTGATTTTTAAATTCTTATATTTCTAATAACTACCTTCTGTGTATATATATATATATGTGCTTACGTGTTACGTATATAGGTGGACCTCAAAGATTTTTTTACAAAATTGGTGGTCCACACAACTAAAAAGGTTGGGAATCGTTGACCTATACTATTATCTCTATGTCCTATACTCCTATGGGCTATAACCTATTAACCTATGGCATCAAGATTTTCAAGAAAGAATTTGGAGTGTATCCGGTATCGGTAGTATCGGGTCAATTTTGAGCGTTCAAGATGTTACACGTGCAGCATACAAGCGATACGTGCCGACCCGTATCGGACTCGGACTTCGATACGACTATACGAGGAAGTACGTAACTATTCCGTATCGATACGTATCGAATTTTTCTTCTTGAAAATCTTGAAGGTCTCCATGTGTGGTGTATCGTGTATAGCACGGCCATATAGATCTATAATACATGTATAATATGCAATAATGCAATATTTAAATTTATATAGACATAGAGTATAGACAGTGTTCATACTTCACTTTCTGACTTAAAAACTGTTCGCAAAAAACCCCATTGACCACCACTTAAATCGTAAAAAATGTGTAAAGGAACGGGAACGACTGAACGAGTTCCTTTTTAAAAGGAACTTTCCCAACACTGGTATAGTGGTATATATATAGTATAAAATATAAATGTATAATGATCTAAGATTCTATAACAGAACAATGATTCTATGTATATTCTTAGGCCGTCGACGCCAAGGATAACTGATAAGGGGTCGGTACAGTAAAGTTCGGCCCCGTACAAGACGTCGTGTACAACACAGTAGAAACCATAGAGTAAGAATATAAAAACCGATGATATTTTGTTATCCCTAAAGGTGATACACTGATTTATTACCGTGATCTTATCACAACAATTCTTAACTCAATATTGAATTTACACGATGCGTCGATGCACCAATCAGCAATCTCCAATGCACCATTGTGATTAGTGATTACACATATTTTACTCCAACAATCTATTTACTATTAAATTTGCTAAATAAAGTTATATATTCTACTATAAATTCTGGATATATATAAATTATTATAATTATGAATATTAAATAAATACATAGTATAAGAAGTTTTGAAAATTTGAAATTTTGAAATAAAAGAGTGTCAAAAGTGGCAATAATTATACTGCAGATTGATTTATTAGGTAAGTAAAACGATCTTTATGATGTTTCCTATTTTTGTTTGACTTCTTTAACTATATTTTATGTTATATCAATAATCATAATCAATTATTATGGTTATTTTTTTTTTTTTTGTAATACGAACACATTGAATAATGGTAGAGTCTTATTAATCCGGATTTGACAATACGAGGAAGCAAGTTTTACATGGGTAAAACCAGAGGTTAAACTATTAATTCAATGTTTTTATCATAAAAATTACTTAAATTAGTCATAGTTAGTTTCCAAGTTGCAAATTAGAATATAAATATACATTATTTTTTTAGTTTCTAAGTCATTCCTTGACAAGTGAAACTACTGTATTACTTTTTGTATCCAAAAAATGTTACCGATAAATTGTTTAAATAGGTTTTTGTATCTATACAGTTACAGTATAGATACTGATAGTATGAAATTCAATACTGTATTAACCATAAAAATTGATTGAACACTAACTTACGTCAACTTAAAAACAGTTGGGCTTAACCAAATACATTACAACTGTGTTTGAACTTTAAAATTTGAATTAAATTTGTTATAGTCCACGCGGTGTCAAACACATTGAAAGCTACTGTTCTATATTTTATGTGTTTCAGTTGGGAATTGGTGTAATATTTTTTTTAGATGTTATTTAAGTTTAGTACAACGTCTCACATTAGTTACTATTATAACATGTCCAGTTCATCTTTGCCAACTCCATAGGCAGTTGCCCCTAGTGTGCCAGATAAACTGGAATGAATTGGAAAAGTTATGCTAATGTATAAAATATAACTCATTACTGATTAGTCATTTGTATCATATTTTGATGTATTCAGTCATATGCATTCTTCATACCTTAACTTTCAAAGAAACTCTGTGGTCAGACCAAAACAATATAAAAATATGTAAATATTGTGATATTTTATTGAATCATTTGTTTTAAAATTTTTAATGCCGTAAACTCAGTTAGTAATTTTAACTTATAGATAATCTATTAAATAAGCTTTTCAAAATTTGAATATAAACAATTTTAAAATGTCTAAATATTTTTTAAAGTAGGAAATAACGTAAAACACTTAATTAAAAAAAGTGTAGTCATTCAAAAATTGATAACTTGGTATAACAATAATTTTTTTGTTAGATTCAGTAGGCATTACCATTATATAATATATAATATACAGTGGTCACCGCTTATTAGACTCACTTTGGGACCTGACCATTTGAGTCCATTAACCGAATGAGTCAATAAGGCGAATGACCTCAAAAAAAATTTTTTAAATCCTTACATTTAAAAACTTATTCAGCTAAAAAATATTTATTGAGATTCAAGGTATGTATGCATAAAAATAAAAATATAGCTATACGCAATTAAAAATAAAATAATATGTAATAAAATAATGTTTGTAAAATCTAATTAATTTTTCGATAAAAACCCATCTAGGGTTGATTGGATTTTCCCTTCTTCGGCCAACTTCATAATCATATCTTCACAGGATTTATGTTGCTCGAATACGTAAAAATCGCCTCTTTGCTGAATCCCTCTACGTACAATTTGAAGCCCAAAATACCGGTACCGACTTATTTCGCATTTATAACACGTTTGTTTATTGTATGTACATATTTTATTTATTTATCTAATTTTCAAATGACCCTATTAACCGGTGTGTGAGTCGAATAGACGAACTTTTTGCTGTGTGTTGGTATATGCACAAATCGGGACCAGCCGTTTTGAGTCTAATAGGCGAATGAGTCAATTAACCGTGAGTCCAATAAGCGGCGACCACTGTATAAATATGAAGAATTATAAATCATAAGTTGAGTATAATTCCTGTACTCTGTATTTACTCATCCATTTGAAATTTTTATACCACTGATTTCTATTTTACTAACATGATACTAATATAACCTGATTATTTTATTACATATTTTCATTCTGGTAAAAACACTCTTTGAGTGATTGCAGAACATTTTTTTATGTTTATCCATTAATTTTAACGCATGTATTCATTATAGTTGTATTTTTATAAATATGGATGTAATTTAAATTGTTTTCCATTATAAATTTAACCATGTATTTGAATTACTATCTAGTATTATATTCTTTAATTTAGCAATATGTTAATAATCTTTTAAAATTTAACAATAAAAATCAATGCTAACATTTTAGGGTGTGTTGCATAAAGAACAATCTGTAAATTTGTTACTGGCCCTGTAATTTATTCATTTTATAAAATTGATGAATGTATTCAACAAATTGCGGAAAAAAATCCTCAGTAGCATTATATATGGATTGACTAAATATAAAAAATTTATTTTACAAATTATACATTATATATTAGAAATAAAATAAATATTCTATACTCTGTTAAGAATTGTCATTTTTATATTGTAAAATAACAATTTTTTACATAGTATGCAATATATTTTCTTTTATTTCTTTTATATAATTTGTAAAATAAATTATTTATATTTAGTTAATCCCCAGTAAAATGATACTGTGGATTTTTCCATCTATACTCAGGCCACTGAGAGAGCGCTACTTTTTCGCTCATCCAAATGATTAAGCTCCGTGGTTGTGTCTCCCATTCTACCACCTAGCCGGCAGGTTTAGTGATAGGAATGCACGCGATTGGACGAGTTTTGGTCGCTGCCCAGAAGCACTCTCTCGGTGGCCCGACTATAGTTAAGGGATTTTTTTACTGTGTTAAACTATCCTAGTTTTGTATAAAGACATTTTAAATTATTGATAACTGTGATTAAAAATAAATTTAACCACCAATAACATAGATATCATCTATGATATTTCATCAATCTGTAAGCTACTGAACCAAAATCCAATCTGTAGTTTACAAGTCTGTTAATCGGTAGTTTATAAAACCATTAACACTTACAGGCCATTCAAGCCACACCCAGTTTTATTTACAAGACTGTTAACTTTGCGATAATGTTTTGGTAAGTCACTACAAGATGTTTATGCAACCCACCCCTAGTAAATACCTAAATTTACTCACAATTTATAAAATTGGGTATTTGAAAATTAATAAACAATATTAGGTTGATTCAATTTTTATTTTTATAAATGCTTGTTACATGTGTAATTTAATTTAAATATTTATACTAACATAATATCTCCTTACTTTTATTTTAGAGACTACTTTAACAATAAGATACTCAAAACTAAATTTGAATTCAAAAAAATGTTAACTTTGAATTCTAAGTCTCCAACTGTTGAAAACAAATTATCTCCTGAAATTAATACAGTATCTACTTCTGACAAAAAAAAAATCACTCCATCAAAAATAATAAAGACAAACGTTGGCAAAAGACCTGGCCCAAAATCTAGTAAGTTATGTTAAATTGTAAAATAAAACACCTAATGAACCATAGCCAGACTTCACACTAATTAATTTATAAAATTCATCAATTTCTCCTAACTATATTATAATATATTTTTAATTTACGATATTTATACTCATTTAAATTGTATTCTTTATCTTGTATTCTCTCTACTAGTATATACTTTCATACATGTTGTAAGTTAAATATAAATAATCTTATTGTTGACGAGTATCAGTTAATTTTAATTATATATACCTGTGTAGTATTAATATATTATAATTATATCAGTATGTAAAAATTCCAAAATGCTTCCCATCGAATAGGTACTACCTAAATTAATTTAATTATTTTAGATCAACTTCGAATAATACTTATGTCACCCAGAATTATTTCTTAATAGCTATTTTGTATTAAATTTCATATTTATGGACTCACTATAATATTATTTGAATAATTTATGTTGGTTATACATATGACATTAAAATTGTTTTTTAGAAACATGTGTGCCGCAGTTAAAAATTGAAAAAATGACTTCAAATCTACAAAACAAAAATGAAATAAATTCAGAACAAGTAGATAGTATCAATGTTGGTACAAATTCCAAGGATTCAAAAATATTGTTATTAAATGCAAGTAATGCTGATAACACTGAAACTATTGAAGCAGAATCCAAGAAAATTGATACTAATACAGCTCAACTAAACGAGGTCGGAATTATAGATTTAATTCCATCTCATAACAATGAAACTATTATTAAAATAGATTCTAGTGCTAGTACAAATGAAAATAAAGACAGAATAACGTCTATACCAACTGATAGTGTTATAGTAAAAATAGAAAGTAATGAAATAAAACAAACTACTATATTAAATAATTTTGATACTGGTGAAAAATTAGAAAACTTAGAAGAATGTTCAATAAGTCCCAATCATTTAAATGAAGAAAAAAATGAGAATATTATTATTAGAGAAAAAAAAGTTGCACCAGAACATAAAAATGAGGAAGATAATATACAAGATGAAGAATTAGATCATGAAATATATGAAGAATTGGATCACGAAGTTGATGAAGAAGAAATAAATGAGATTAGTGATAGCTTTAATCAAACTCATTATACAGTAGGTTTAATACATAACGTTATCAGAGCTTGCGCTAAGGAATTATTAAAATTTCCAAAGCTTAACGACTAATATTCAAGGAACTAAAAATTAATCATACTCTATAATATTACTTTAGTTCAAAACAATTTATCACAAATTAAAATGCTTTTTTATTTAAAATTTCACTGTTTCTTTACTTTCAATGATTTTGAAATATTGGCACTTAAATAATTGAGGAAAAAGTAGCAATCTTTTATAATCTTTTACTATATTAGAAAAATATCAAAATCCATTATATATCCCTTCACTTTCTGGAAATACTTGACATTGACATAAAAGAAAACTGTATCATAATCCTCTAATGTATCAATCTCAAGGCATGTGTTTCTAAACAGTGACTTCTTAACCATACAACATAAAAAATGATTTTATTCACTACTTTACATATTATACTCATTGTACTTGTTATATAGATTGTATTTTTATTATTAAAAAAAATTGTTAATATTACATAGAACTTAGGTATTTGATTAAATATACACTTACAACTGTTTTTTTTAGTTAGAACTACTCATCAGCGCAAGTTCTGATAAACTTATTCAATTAAAATGGTCGTACACTATTTAATTTTTACTTAATTTAGGTGAAATCTGTTCAAGAACATAACAAAGATGATAATAATGAAGATTCTATTAACTTGACGATTGGAGAAGATGATATTAAATTATTTGCTGATGAGGTAAAATTAATATTCTATGAATTAAGCACACACATTTTTTAGTGTTATTCATTTTTGGCATTTAACATTATAATAGTAAAAAAGTGGGTAATGGGCTACTATACATTAGGTGTCTAAAGACTTTAGTCGCTGTAATGGATGTGATAAATTTCAATTCAATAATCATTGTAAACGAAAAACGATTCTGAGCGGAGACGGTCTGTCAGCCTATAATATTACTAAGTAAATTTTATGTATTATTGTGGTTACAGAAATTATTTTATTATTAGACATTAGTACTATTGTAGATAAATTATATTGTTGTCAAAAAATTTGCATTTGAAAATGTCATTGTGGTGGATATACTGCATGTTTTCATCCTGACACTTTTGAAAACCATTGGGAATTTTTTATTTTTGACCCCCCAGAGTACCAACTATATTCACTTTCTTATTGGAAAATATGCTATTGAAAAAAGTCAAAGCACTTTTAGTGTTACAAACCATGACAGACACACAATAAAAAAACCACATAATTGTAAAATCAATACATTCATTGCTCTGCTCAGACTCTAAAAAATGAATTTTAATTGAGATGTTTATGTATGGTTATTAAAATTCTTATATACTTATAATAAACAAAATAATAATGATGGTTCACTTAAATGTCTACACGAGTTTATATTTTAAAAGTAAAGTAATAATATGTAGTGCTCTGATTTTTAAGCATAATAAATAACAACAAAGCACAAAATTGTTTTAAAAAAGCAAAAATGAAGCATATTTATTTTTTTAAAAAGCAAAAAAACATAATTAAAAATTATCATGAATTAGTTATATTGTTAAAAAAACAATAAGACTGAAAAAAAAATTTTAATTTTTAAAAAGAATTTAGTACCATGTATTTGGCAAGATTTTCAGTAGTGAAACTGAGTCTATTGTCTGACAGAATGTTTTTATGGATAGAAAACAAATGCTCTAAATCTACTGAATTGATCGGTGCATACTTCATGCAAGAGGTTTTGTTTAAATCAAACCCATGGTAATCAATTTTGTTTGGTGAAATGCTGCATAGTATAGTATTAATGGCCAGTAATTGTTCCAGCCTTTGTTTCTCAAAAGAACGCGATTTAGCTTACCTGAAATTGCAGTTGCAATATCTGCAATATCTATATTTATATTATGAATTATTATTGTGGGTTTTCACAGCGCTTATTAATTAAATGAACATTTGTTTATTACTAAAGCATAACTTATTAAAATTCCACAGCTAGAATAGAATAAATGAAAAAAGCAAAAATAAATTCATATATTTGTAATCAGAATGACAGAATTTGCGTATAAAAATTAGATTTCTATCTTATATGTATAAAATGAAGCATTTGCTTTAAAATCCGAGCCCTAGTAATATGGAATTTATTCTTTATATATATGATGTAACAAAATGCAAGTTTCAACTGACACCTTAGTCCACTCGGACACTCCGTCCCCCAATTATAATATTTATTTAAATAATATTTATTTAAATTTCATTTCATAAATATACAATTATTTATATATTGTTTTGCCAACTTAAATTAATTTCCCATTTGTTTTTTTTTTTCAGGAAGATACAAACATTGAAAAAGATGGTAATAATAAATATATATATAACTACTTAATTTATAATTTTTCTAATCTATTGTCAAAAATAGAAATATGCAAAGTATTTTTGTTGCCTTTTTTAAGGAGTATCAAGTAAGGTATTAAATTATGATTGAACTTTGTTTCTGTATATGTTTATCAATATAAATTTACACTGTAGTTGTTAGCTATACCAATTTAGTATTTTTATATTTTTTATATAATTTAGACATTAGTATATATATATATTTTTATATATGTATGTTATATATCTAAGGTGCAATTTCTGCACAATGAAAACTAGAAGAAAAATATTTAACCAAGAAATAACTGATTTTATCATATTTTTGATAACATTTCTACTAAAAGAAACCTGAAAACCATTAAAGAAATGTTCAAAGATTATCAGACATACCGGACAACTGTTTGAAAATGTTGACACAATATTTAATATTCAGTAGAAAAAGTTGACTTTTTTTAATTATAATTTAATATTATTAAGTTATTTTTAGCTAAACAATATATAATTATTAAAGAAAGAATTAATAATAAATACTGACATCCACAAGAAAAAAATCACATATTTTTTTAGGTTAATTATTTAGTTTGAATTAGTTAAATTCATTTTATTATATTTTGATCAAATGTACAGAAAATGTGGGTTAATCTTATTTACATATTTCTTAGCAAAGTTAATTTGAAATTAATATTATATTTAGTTTATTAATTAAATGTTTTATTTATCTATGCCTAAAAATCATTCATATTGTTTTATAATAATGCTATTATGATCTAGTTTCTTATAATTATTTAACATTTGTTATTAATCTTTTAAACATATTTTAGTATAGGTTTAAATTATGCCAATTATATGTTATTTATTAATATCATTGGTATTTTGTGTTTATGTATATTTAATTTGTGTGACGAAATATAGACGAAGTGATCGAGAACCATAACAAAGAAGAAACTGCATTGATCAAACAGCGTGAATCTTGCCATCCAATTACTGCTAGTAGCAGATCTACAACTGGTTTGGTCAAAAGCCGTCGCAGTGCGACTGAGAAACGATCGTCTGTTGGGGATAAACCACGTAGCAATCGCAAAGAGGACATCAGCAATGTGAAACCTATCGTCAATGTGCCCAAAGATGAGAAGAAAGAAGTGGAGAAACAAGTTAAAGATAAAGCGGAAGCAGGCAATAAGCAGAGGTTTGTTTTGAACACTGTCTCGACAACTGATTCTTTATCCCTTCATCGGAATATTGCGCCAAGGATCTGATATATGACTGTCAATCTAAAGATTTTTAAAAAAACCGTTCTTTTTAGTACAGCTAAGTTTGATCGAATATTCCATTTTAGTTACTGATAATGGATGAATGTGTTGTATATACATGAACAAATTGTCTGGTAAATAATAACTAGCATATACATACATGCATGTCAGTACTAAAGGAAATTATAAGTTTCTAATTTACGTGAATAGGATTTTTGAATTTTGGGTTTAAAATCATGTAGAAATATGTTTATTATTAATTAATTAAAACAAATTTATGTACCAATCTTTCAAATTTTAAGCAATTTTAAATAGATTTTATTTGAGTCGAGTATTGTGTAATCAATTTTTGTAATCAAATTCAAATGTGTGCATATAGCACCTTAATGGGTTAAAAAACCCTCCCTCCCGTAGTCTCAATTTTATTGAAAACAGTCCAGTAGTTTGTAGGTCTATAGAGGACAAAGAAACATTAATTTATATAGAAAATTATAAAATCACATATTTATAATTAGAAAATTTGTTTTTATAATTTAGTTATAAAATGCAGAGACTACACTCTTAATTAAGTATACAATTCAAACAAAATAATATGAATTGTATAACTAAATTACCTAATTTTTTATTTTACGATGAAAAATATTTTGATTTCACAATATATACTTATGGGGATTACAAACATACATTTATTTCAACCAAAGTGTATCAATATCTTGTCCATCATACTGATGGATCTGATGTTGTGATAAAATTTGAAAAAACTGCTGAAAACTGATTTAAATTTGTTAATATGTCTACTCATGATTGAAAAGGCCAGTTTTTGAAATGTTGGTTCTATAACTAAGAATTTTGTTTGAATTTTTTAAAATGTACTAATTTTAAATGTTGAATATTCGAAAAATTAAAGAAAATGTGTTTAAATGTAGGATGATAGATCATAAGTTGACACATTAAGAGGATATCAGAACAATATTAGTTTTCTCTCTTAGTCACCGCTTAACACTTGTGCTAAAATCATTATTTATGATTTTTGAGTAATCTTAGAGTAAAACCACCTATTACAAAAATTATAGATATCGGTTTTATTTTTTAATATTACTATTTGACTTTGTATTCCACTTTTAACATTTTGTAAATCAAATGACGTTAAAATTGTTTTGATACAATATTCAGACAATTTGTTATGTTATACCATCAAAAATATTCTTTATCGTTTTTGTAATGGGTGATTTTTCCTTAAGATTACTCGAAAACAGAAATAAATGATTGTGTAAATGTGTTTTGTTTGTGTTGTTTGTTAGTCTGAGAAAGAAAACAAATATCTCTTTGATATTCTCTTAATATGTCAACTTCAGTTCGATCAGGCCACATTTTAAGATATTTAATCAAATTTCCAAATATTCAAACTAAATTCATAGGGATTTAGAAACAAAATCTTAATGAAGTTTCCTGATCGATCTCAAGTAGATGAATTAACAAATTCAAATCAGTTTTCAGAATTCAATCATGTAATCAGGTCCGTACTCAAGTCATTACTCAGTCACACACACTAATGATCAGTTACTATACCATATTTACAAGATACGCATTTGAACTCTTTAAAAACTGTCCATTTGCAACTCCCTTAATATTAATTAGAATTTACAGTACGTGTTTGTTTCAAAAATAAAAACAAAGGAAATGCTTCATTTTTATCATTCAAGAAAGAATTGGTACATAGATATAATATTTTTATTCGGGGATGGGGTAAATTTAAAATTATTTTTAATTTTAGAGAAATTTAGTTTTGAGTTATAAACTTCAAAGTCATTTAAGAATGACTAAGTTATTGCTTTTTGATCAAACATTTTAGATTTAGAGTCTGTATCAAAATCGCATGTTATACATTATGAATTTTTATATAAATACATATTGAATATAACTTGAATTTTAAATATACTTAATGTATAATACAAAATTTAAGTTCATATTCACTAATCTATTTATTGAAAAGAATAGTGCTGATGAATAAAGATGGTAAAATCAAGTACAAATGGAAAGATCTTGAAGAGAGAAGTAAATTACTTTTTAGTAAGAGATTTTTACTTTTCCAATGTGAACATTAAGAAAACAAGACAATAAGTATAAGATAAAGAATTTGAAGTAATAGATATGTTACTGAATGAAATATCAACTTATTCATAAATATTGTTGATAAAAAAAAATACTGATGTACTTTTGTACATAATATTAATATCAAAATATGTATTATTGTTATGTGAAGTAAAGATAATAATGATTATCAAATCAATTGTGCAATAGATTTATTGTTGTACTAAAATTGAGATTTGCAAGATAATATTATCTGATGACAGTTAATAAATATCAGTTAAAGATGAATTAAAAATTGGTTTATACTAAGGCGATGGTAAGTCAGACAACTTTGACACAGAAGAAATGCTAATTTTGATTAATATGTGCTATCTATGTACAGACAATATTCAGATCCACATATTAAAGTACAACTCCTGAATCGAACAATATTGTTTTTAAGTGACTTAAGTGTTGAATATTTTTCTCATAACTAAGTATAAAATACTGTAAATAGTTTTTAAAATACTATTAATTTTGTATGATGATGACAACGATTACATTGTTAAATGCAATGACTTAGACAGAAAATATATTATATCTAAGTATATATTATATTATAACTGGTAAAATATATTAATAAATAATTTTTGTTAAAGTAAAAACTGGAAACAAGTAATAATTTAATATACCTACTTTTTGTGTGTGAAAAAAATGTATATTGTTTGTAAACCAAAATTAAAAGTAAATCTTTTTTGTAAACATTATTTAACATATATTTGTATTTAATATTTTCAGTATTGATTCAAAGGCTCAACAAATATCAAATGACATATGTAAGTTTTTGTACTTTTAGTCATTTTAAAAATCAAATTATGATCTTTTTAGATTTTAAGTATTTCTAGATCTTATAAAAATATATGACTATTTTACATATTCTTTTACTAACAGTTAATTTTATATAAAAGACAATACATGTCAAATAAACAATTTATAAATTTTAAAATAGATTTATTTTTTTTTAAATTCGGATATCACAAAATTTGGCTATAAAAAATACAGGCAATCTGTTTATCTATACTCTATTCCAAATAAGTTGTAACATAACTGTGCAGCCTTGGAACAATAGGACTTCTAGTAGGTTAGTAGTTGGTAGCCAATGAAAATGCACATGCCCCGCAAAACATTTTTGTCATGATTTTTTTCCAAATTTATTTGGATATGAGTATAGGTTCCTTAAAGATTATTATAAGAGAATTTGGCTGTATTTACAATATATTAACGGTTAAAAACACACTTGTTTTAGGTAAACTTTTATAAATTATCAGGAACCATGTTTGAAATCTATTTATCATGTGTAATATAAAATATTTAAAAAGTAGTTCAATTTCCCATGAACTAAATAAATAAATGTAATATGTATTCTTAGATTACACTTAACATGTGTATGCTTTATAATCAATTATTATTACTTTTTGAACTAAAGATATTTGAGTGTCCTAAGAAATTTCAACTAAATATCACATGTAATTCACTTTTTTAAATGTGTTTTAGCAAAGAAAAACAATTTGTCCTTGGTACGCAACATTTGGGTTAGTGGCTTATCGTCAAGTACTAAAGCTACTGATTTAAAACAACTTTTTTCAAAATATGGAAAGGTAATATCACTGATTATTGATATTTGAATAATTATATGTTTTATGTTTAACCCTGTATACTTAAATTGTATAAATGATAGATTTTGAAAATCATCTCATCAAGTATGCTATATTTAAAAAAAAAATATGTTAATTCATATATTATACTAAGTAAAAATATTACCTGAGAAATCAATTTTAATTTTCCAACTGCAGCACTCTGAAACTAATTATAGTGATTTGTTTCTATTTATATATTATAATATGTTCTCTGATTTATTTTTTACTATTGAATCAGATTGTGACCGGATATTACAATTATTCATTAGATTTAGCTTATGACTTAAAATTTAATCATGTTTGTGCTTGTTTTTTTTTCTTAATTTTTTTCATTATTTATAATAACTAAATTAGAGAATTCACTGAATAAACTTTTGTATCAACTTTTCTGAGATCTTAATTAATATTTTGGCTGAACAAAAGATTTTTAATTTATATTTTATGATTAACATGATTATTATATAATTACATATATGATTATTATAATATTTTAAATATAATAAAAGCTCTGTTTACTGTGGTTTTAGGTGGTTGGCGCAAAAGTTGTGACAAATGCTAAAACTCCTGGAGCTCGTTGTTACGGTTTTGTTACATTATCCTCAGCGGAAGATGCTAATCGTAGTATCGAAAATTTACACAAGACTGAACTTCATGGACGTGTTATTAGTGTTGAACGAGTTTGTATTAACAATTTGTCTTCTAATTAAATTTTACAGTTTTCAATAAAAATCATTGGTCATGATTAATAGGCCAAACGTGACAATGGTTATCAAGTAACAGCAAAAAGTTCTGATTCATTTAAAATTAATGAAAATACTGAAAATCTTAAGACAAAAAACAATGAGGAAAAGAAAGATAAACGAGAAGAAAAAAGAGAAAAGAGACCTGAAATTACAATTAATGATGTTAAAAAACCAGACATGTCAACTCTTAAGCGTGGTTTGTATTCTTAATTTTTTAATTTTTGTGAATTTGTTTAAATTATTATGGATGGTATTTTTTATTCATTTATGTAGTATCAAAAGATCAAAATCAAGATCCAAAACGTTCTAAAATAGTGATTGAAAGTGATGAATGTGGAAAAGACAGAAGCATTAAAAGTAAAAGCAATGAACGCGATAAAGAAAGAATTAGAGAATTAGAACGAGAAAGAGAATATTTAGAAAGAGAAAAAAGAAAACAGAAGGAGATATTAAACTTAACAAAAATAAAAGTACGCTATTTTTCATTCTAAATAATTATTTCTTTAAGTATAATTGGTAATTGCAATAAATAAATTGAAACAAATCAGTTTAATCTGTTATGATTAAAGACAGAATTTATAATCTCTAAAAAATCTTAAAATATTCATATTATATTCTCTTAAAAATATTCAAAACTTTGTCAAAATAACAAATGGTCATAAAAATATGTTTTAATATGTATTTTTAAAAAAAATTTTAGATATTCTTTTAATAGGGAGATATATACTCGCGTAATAAAATAGAATACTATTGGACTTCAGCTACAGTAGGAATATAATATAAAAATAACAGTATGATATTAAAATATAAAAACAATATTCCTTTGGTATATTATAATTAAGAAACCTTATTTTAAACACTAAAGTCACTGCATGAAGAAATAACAAATACTGATATATATTAAAACATAATGTAACAAAACAAATTATAGAATGGTAATCCTCAAATAACAATTATTAAAGTGTGGTTTACACTTACATAATGAAATTCCACTAAAGAAACTAGGGAAGTTGACCGATTTTTTTAATTCGTTCATTTTAAAAACTAACAATCTGCCTATAGTTAAAAATATGTTATTTCAAAAGTTGAAAAGGGTAAAACAAAATTTGGATGATTGAATACTTGATCAACGTATACGTTATACAGTATGAAAACAACTGCAGGTTAGCCAACATGTTTAGTGAGCGGCATGGAAACTTATGATAAAGTGCTAAAACTTAAAAGCCTATAACACTGAGTAACTCTTTTTATCAAAATGATAATAAATAATAATACAATTTATAATAAATAAATATTTTTTCGACAAACTCAAACTTTAACGAATGGTCCACATTTTTTACTCTCATAAACCTGCATAGACTCAGAAACGATATGTAAAAAATATAAGAATCTGGTCTTTAGTTATGATCCACCAGTTGTTTTTATTTATTTTTTGCTAGCTAAAAATTTATTTTTATTTATAATAATTATTATTTTATTATAAATATAGTAGTTATTAATAAAACTTGTTCATTTTTTTGATGTATTTTTTATTATATTAGACTGAACGTGAAAGACTAAAACAAAAGGAACACGAGAGAGCGATGAGAGAAGAAGAACGCAAGAGAGGTATTGAAAAAGAACGCCAATTAGAAATTGAAAGAAAGCAAAAAGAAGAAGCAATTCGCCTAGAAAAGTAAATGTCTCAAATACAAAAATGTAATACCTATATAATATCACTATTTATTTATTTATTTAGAGAAAGACAGAAACTTCGAATTGAGCGTGAAAGAATTGAAAAAGAAAAATCTGAACTATTGCGTTTGGAGCGTGAAAATCAACGCTTAGAACGTGAAAGATTACAAAGAGAAAAGGAAGAATTACGTAGAGCACAAGAAAAATTAGAAGAAACAAAGCGCCAAGCATTACTAAAGCGTGCTATGCCTCCATCTCCACCACTTCCTAGTAAAAGACATTCTTCATCAAATTCATCTCGATATGAAGAAAGGTACATATTTTTTTAACATGGTTTTCAATTAATTACTTTTGTCTATTTTCAATTTGAATTTTTTTGCAGAAAAGAACCAATTCGTAGTTCTCGTATCCAGCCTAGTACAGACTATATGAACCAAGCCCCTCCACCTCCTAACATAACATCATCAAGACATCGCTATGAACAGCATTCGTCAGATTCTCGTCGTATGAGGCCATCACCACCATCTCCTCCACCGCCTGCATCAAGACCTAAAGACTCTACTGTTAATATCAGGTAATATTTGTATACTGTTGTAGATAAATTAAAGAAAAAAAAAAAATTTCAAAATTCTTATTTTCATTACTGTGATACTTTATGATTACGGTTCATAAGAATTTTGTAAAGTAAGATTCGGCCATTTGACAGCTAGATAGTTCAATAATAATTATCTTGGTTTGTACAGGCAATGATACAGTTTTTAACAAATCTAAATGTTTTTCCATGTGACTTGATTTATCAAATCAAAGTTCTTGTATATTGCTATAAATTGATGTAATATTTGTAGTATTTTTGAACTTTGTACAATAAAATCGACTATTGACAGCTAAACAATTTTATTGATATTCGTTTATGTTTGTACAGGTTAAGAAACAATTTTTATTGTTAAGTGATAAAAGTATTTTTAATTTTTTTTTTTTTGTAAACCTAATTATTTATTGTTATTGAATGTTTTACACGGATTGTAGATATGGTAGTGCTCAACTACCCATAGATCATCATTACAGAAGTCGTGATGATCGGTCAGATCGAAGAGATGAATCTCGTAGAAAAGATTCAAGTAGTGGAAGTATTAACAGACATGCTCATGTATCATATGATCCAAACAAAAGTTGTGAGTCATAAATTTAATAATTTACTTATTTCTGTATCACAATGACACTTTTTATTTCAGCCTATGGAGGAATATCACGCAATAATGAAAGTAATAGCTGGTCATCAGGCGCAGTAAAGAATTCTTATGGCACAGTTGGGTCAAGCTCTGGAACTAATAATATGGTTGTAAGTTCAAGACCAGATCCATGGTCACATAATACTTTTCGAGATATGGATTCAAGTATTTGGCAACGTCCAAGTCAACCACTACCTGAGAAGTATGTTTTTAATTTTTTTAGTGTGGATATAGGTAATTCATGACGAACAATTGTATTTGTTGCTGTAGGTGGAACAGTACATCAGGCAATCCTTCATCTATGTCAACAAGTGGACGTAGTTCTGGTACTTACGCTTTGTATGGTAATAACCATCAAGTTATACCAAATTTGGAGTTAAACATGCCAACAAACTACAGTGATAGTAGATTTGACAGTTATAAAATGAGTGGCATGTCACGCAAATATTGAACTGTTGAATACCTGGCAGTTAATCATAGCACAAAACATTCTTTCGTGTTTCGTGTTTTTTGTTTTTTTGTTTTTCTTTTGAACAGTGGTTAGAGGAATATGATCCCTTAATTGTTCTATTTTTATTTATTGATTAAAGTGATTTAATTTCATTGCACTTTTCATACACTTGTTATTTATTCAGTTATAAAAATTATTTGATTTTTGGTTGAATGTAATTTCAAGGTTATTTTATTGTATAAATTATAGTTAATTGCTCGTGTATTTCAATTTCACAAATGCTATATTATCCATTATATTTAAATGTCAATAATTTATTTACTATCTCATCCCTACTATTATTAAACTTTTTGTTTGTTTGTTATTGTTTTTTTTTTTTTTGCCTGCAAATATGTCAATACTATAAGACAATTAATTATAAAACTGTTAAACCAATGCAATTCTGTCAACAAAAATCAATGTTATTCAATGTGTGTAAGTTAACTTTGCTCTGTTTTTAATGATACTGCCTCAGGGGTTCTTGATGTAATTTAACCAGTTGATCTTTATTAAACATGGGTACATATGGACCTTAAAGTAAACAGTCTTATCTGTTTTGTACATCCTAAATTGCAAGTATACTAATAACACTAAAAAAAATTAATTTTATTAGAAAGTTAAAACATTAATTATGTAATTATTGCTATTACTTAGTAACAAATACATGTGTCACATATATTACCCTATATTTAGGGTGGGTCCTTAAAAATGTAAATCTTCTTTATGTTTAAGTTCATTAATACAGTGAGTTCTGGTAAATGTGATTACTGCTTTATAGAATCAACTGTTAATTGAAAACAAAAAGGATAAACTCAAACCAAATATTATGTTAAAAATGTTAAATTGACTTTTTTTATAATAGCTATATTCCCGATTATTGTATCATTTTTACAAATATTTTTATCGTCTTTCAAAACTGACTATGTTAGGAGATCAACGGTTGGTGTACCCAAGGTTGGGCAAGTTAATGATTTTCTTAACTTGTCAAGTTAAGTTAATATAAGAAAAAGTAAGTTAAGTTAAAAGTTAACAAATGTATTTTTTTATAACTTTGTTAAGTTAAAAATGAATGGATAAAAAAAATAACTTCAGCAAAAATTTAAATATTTTTGAATCTTTAAGAATAATAGATCACCCACAAAATGGTTGATAAATTTGGAATTTGTGCCAAACTCACATTTCTGTGCCCATGTGGCCAACTATGTATTATGCTTAGCATTTTCTTACATAGGATTTAGGGTGGGCAATTGATAATTCATCCAACTCTCCCAACCATTAAAGAAGGGGGGGGAGTTAAAATAGTATACAAATTATACAAGTTCTACTTTTAACTTCTACTATTAATTTTAAATACAAATAATAACAAAAATCACCGCATTGGAAACAACAAATAAATAACTCAAAATCGACAAAATGTTAATTGAACTGCAGTACTGCGCAACACACTCGTCGCACATTTAAACTAATCTATGAATCACACTGAATGAAGCAATGAGTACAGTAAAATAACAATATCGTAATTCCAATTATAAATCGAAGAGTATAAATATTTTAAATCAGAGTACATCAGATATGTTCAGAATTAATTTTTTCCTCAAGAGTATTTTAATAATTTCAAGTAATAATGTATTTTTTGGGATGTGTGGCGTATACATTAAAATGTCACTAGAAAATGAGGAATTATAATACTTTAATGGTTTACAAGAAAACTAATTAAGTACACAAACATCTCGACCTGTAGTACCTTATTGAAAATACCTATATGAAATATGTATCAAACTAAACTGGTAATAATTATTTTTCATTAATTATACATTTCCCCATTTGTTTTCTATGATATCTAATGTCTCTCAAGTCAAAAAAGTTATAAATCAATGGGTTGTATTAAATTTGAAATTTATCTTTTTAAGAAATCTGTATAAAATTAACTAGAAGCGTTAAATATGTTAAAAATTTAACTTATAAAGTTATAATTTAGTTTACAAAAAAAAAGAACGAGTTACTTAAATTAATTTTAATTTTTAACTTGTCAATGCCCAGCCATGGGTATAGGCGTATAATTGTATATAGACTTATTGTATCAATATACACATCCCGTTGCTAAGTAAAATTATTGTAGTTTTATTTCAAAAATGTTTAGAAAAATCATTTTTTATCAAAAAGATAACACAATATTTTACAATAAATCAAAAACTTGCAATTTGTTTAATATAACAATTATACAATATAAGTGATTTTAAGTTTTTACTTTAAAGTAACATTTAATTCTTGTGATTTCAATTTACTTAATTAGCCAATATAAATCTTATACAACTTTAAAAGTGATACTATTATCAATTCTATAATAATTGAAAATTAAAAATATTTTTATATGTTTATAAACATAGAATATACAAGCAAGTCTTAATAATCAAACATTTGGTTTACTTACTTTTCATTAAATTATATGAAACTATTTTTAAACAGGAAATTGACTAGTAACAACGTAACACTCGCTGAACTTTTGAGATATTTTTTCAGTTCTTACATTTTAATATTTATAAATCAAAAATACAGTTCAAATTGAATTGATATTTTTTATAATGGAATATTTTGGTGCGTGAAAATTTTTGGGAGATCTGGTCCATAATAAAGTTTTGTATTATTTCCTAAAGATTCTATGCGTTTCATTTCTAAATATTCTTTAGTTAGTAATAACTTATTAGAATCAGCTTGCATTTTAATACGGTAAAATTCGGCATCTGCTGCACTCTTTTCTTTGTCCAAATGAATTGTATCTAAATTGTCATATAAATATAAACATATTAAAATACCTTCAAAACAATTATTTAAATATTCATACCTTCTATTACAGATATCTGTTTAATAGATTCTTTTTCCATAATTTTCTGTTCAAATTCAATTTTTGATACTTGTGCTTGTTTTTCAGCTTCTATAATAGCACGTTTACGTTCCGTTTCTGCTTCTTTTTCAACGACTTTCTGTCTTTGTTCGGCAATGAGCAGTTTAGTTTTTTCTGCTTCCCTAAAACAATCAATTATACATTACTTAAACGTTAAAATGTACCAAGTTTATTTTATTACATGATTTCATAGTTTTTGCGTATTGTCTCTGGTATTTTAGGTTTAGTAACACGTACAGCATGTACTTTGAGTCCAGGAGCCATTTCTGTTAAATCTTTTTGCAATGCCACTTTAAGATTTTCGTCGATTTGATCAAATAGATCTATGTATACCTATAAAAAAAAATATATCATGATTTTAAGAATTATTTCAATATATCAAAGTAAATAATATAAATCGACATTTACTTCATGTAAATTATGAACACTGCAGAACTGATTAAGTTCATGATGTACTTTATTAAATATTAATGTTTTGTCGTAATCTGCTGTATAATTCTTAACAATATCAAAAACTAGAAAAAAATAAAAAATAATAACTGTAATACTGATTTTTATAAGTTTAAATTTGATTAAAAATTGTTACCATTTAATGAATAGTTAACATTGATTGTATTTTATTAAAATATCTAGCATCAGCAAATTTGATTATTCTAAAAGATTAAAATATGTTGGTAGCACAATATTGTAGTGCCTAATCATTTTTAATTTACATTAAAGCAAGTGTTTTATGGCTACTCTACTATACTATAAAGCAGCGGGTTTCCAACCCTTTTATTTATGCAGACCAACAATTATGCAAAAAAAAACTGAGAGACCAGAGACCCATTTACCTAATATACAGGTATAAAATATAAATGTACACAAATAATACGATAGAAGATATATAGACATGTATAAAATTGAATAAGAATCTTGATGATGTCAATTAAAATTGGCTGACCCTTGACTTACTCTTGACTAGCATCCACAGCCTAGTACCACATTGTCTGAGGCCCACAAGTGGGCCCCTCCCCATAGGTTGGGAACCGCTGCTATAGAGTATGGATTGAAGCGGAGCAGTGATGCTGTTAATTGTGAATGCTAATTGCTAGTGAATCATATAGAACCAATAGTCTAATGCTGTGGAGTGACCCACCCAAATAATAGTTGGGCTTTACAGTTTCCAAATAAGTTATAATATGTACAACTTTATTGATCCTCAGTGATATCAACCTGAATAATAAATTCATGATTTGCAAAACAAAACTATACATTTTTTAAATTATATGTTATTTATAATTTTATATTTACTATCACATTGCTTATTTGCCTGAAACAATATCCTAAATTATGATTTTGCAGTTCAGGTGAGATTTTAAAGTAACATAAAAAATGTAAGAATCTGTTTATAAAATTTGATCCCACATAATATTTATACCTATTTTAGCAAATATATTTTTTAATTATATTTGTTACTACCTAGTTCAATTGATTCTATCTCTATACATTCATACTAGAGATGGACCCAACTGGGCCTATGTCCCATGATCATAATATCTAATAATTACAAATAGTTTTATTTTACCACTTGAAGCATTTAGAATATTGACCACTTCAATTCTATCAAAATAAATCATTACACCGCCACTTGTGCCACAAGGAACATTTTTTACTTCATCTGTTTGAAGTGTAACCTGAAAATATAAAGGAACATAAATATTAAGATATATCACATTAATTTTTATTTCATCTGAAACATGATTGGTACTAAATACTTACTTGTACAGACCGAAAAGTTGTTAGGAAGGGCATCATTATGTGGTAACCAGGATAACTAATTTGGGATAATAATGCTCCACCCTACACCACAAACAAGTCGTATACATGAGTACATTTAAAAAGTAATTAAATCACTAAGACGTATTTACCCTATAGTAGACCGCCACGTGCCCTTCATCAACTCTATGCAAGCAAAAGTGAGTCAATACGGCAGTCAGTAGTAAGAGCAAAGGTAATACATAGGATAAGTCTGCCATTTCCAGAATAGGTAGTTGCAAAGTGGATATTTCTCAAATTCGTATAAATTGACAGAGTGAAGTGTTTAAATTTATGACCAAAATAATACTGATATCAAACAAAAAATTAAAGTACAGAGAACTTGCAGCTCACATATATACAGTGAGAAATTATTAAAACGGTATAAGAAAAAAAATTAATATTTTCTACAAAACAAAATAATCATTAATATTGAATGGAATACTACTGAGACACTGAGAATCGTACCACCGCTTAGTTAGTATTTTGAAAATATTGAGTAGACAATAATTAACATCACTATTCACTACATGCCTACATTAGACACTATTACAAGTAAAAAATATTTAATCCGTTATTGTCGTCAAAATTGTTATAATAAATAATAAATGTATAATAGGTATTATTTTGGAACAAATTTTAAAAAAATAATTCATCAGATCAAAGTTGCACTCGTTTGTATTATCAAATCTCTACTGATAAGTGATAACAAAACGCCGCTCTCAAATCCACTGAACTAGGACGTATATTATACTATTTTTGTTATAGTATGCTGCCCAAAGGCCAAACCATAATATATTAATACGTATTATGATCATGAATATTAGACTATTAGAGAAATGTTC